ATTTGGCAGTCTGGAGTTTGAACTCATAGTCTCAAGTTTGCTAGGCAGGTACTCTACCACTTCAGCCACTGCAACAGCCTAATACACATTTTTCAAAATAAAAGAAATGGAAGGAAGGTGGGTGCCAGTGGCTCACACCTGCAATCCTAGCTAGTCAGTTGGCAGAGATCAGTAGGATAGTAGTTCAGAGCCAGCCCTGCCAAATAGTTCTTGAGACCCTATGTCGAAAACACCCACCACAAAAAAAAAAAAAAAGGCTAGTGTAGTGGCTCAATGTGTAGGTCCTGAGTTCAACTCCCAGTACCGAAAAAAATAATAATAATAATAATAATTTTAGAAGAATATGCTATTATCTAAAAGTCATACCCACACACAAAGATTAAGTCTGATTTTTGGGAAGAGAAGCAGAAAATAAATTCATTTATTCTAGAACAAATGAAGCTTAACAAATAATGTACATTCCTTTGTCTTCATATATATTATTGAAGAGTTTCCTTAGCATAAGTCAGTGTTATATTTGATAAAGTGCTAGTGGAGTGGTTCAAGTGGTAGAGAGCCTACCAAGGAAGTATGAGGTCCTGAGTTCATGTCCCAGTGACATCACAAAAAAATATGATAAAAAAGTGTTATTACGGAAAACTTACCAAACAGATACTTCCTAAATTGTCAGTTTAAAAACAACACAGGTGTGTTCCATTTATTTTAAAATCTATTTCATCATCGGGTGGCAGTGGCTCATGCCTATAATCCTAGCTACTTGGGAGGCTGATATGGGAGGGATTGAGGTTTGGGGCAAGCCTGGGCAAACAGTTTGTGAGACCCTAGCTCCAAAATAACTAGAGCAAAATGGACTGAAGGTGTGGCTCAAGTGGTAGAGCATTGAAGCTCTGAGTTCAAACCCAGTCACACACACAAAAATATAGACACATATTTTATCACCTGTATTTTATTACCTCAATTAGATAATTAAATAAAATTTAAAAACCTGAAATACTTTTAAGTTTTTAATCACATAAATTTCATGTTAGTGTTTATCATAAAAGAGGCACTCTCATTTTGTGACTCTAGACTCACTGCTACCATGCTTTCAGAAAAATAATTCAAGTGTTTCAGGAAGGTTCTATACCAAAGCACTCACATTAAGTTATGATCATCATCATTATTTCAAAAGATTCCTTTTAAAGGAAAGGAAGTGGACTTGCTAAAACTTTCATTTACTGCTGCCTTGATCAACAGTAACATAGTAATAAAAATTTCAATTTGTTCCTTAGCAAAATAAAGTCAGAGCTATTCTCCCTGTCCTAAGTATTCTCCTATTTTGTCTTTTATTTAAGTGACTGACACCCTACAGGGAAAAATTTCAAGCAGCAAAGAAATTCAGACATTCCCTAAAATGAGATCAAGAAACTGGACAAAAAACAAGGCCTCAAAAAATTTCATAAGGGTGGGGTGGATAAGAAAAAGTAACAGGAGGAGTATGATCAAAGTACATTATATGCAAATGTACTTTATATGAAACAATATTTGCTAATAAAAAGATTTTAAAGTATGCAAAAAACAGAAGAAACTACTTTTGCCCACCCCACATTCATGCCCCCCGCAAAGCTAAGAATCACACAGATAACAGATATTAAATAAGCAAAAGCAGAATGACTCAAAAAAACAAAAATTCTGAGAAATAATACAGGTCTCATAGTTCCCAACACAGTTTCATGTTTTGAACAGACTGGTGACAACCACTTCATGATGAAAAAGATCAGTCAGAAGCCTGTAACATCTAAATGTTAAAGGAGTTATTTTATGAAAAATTTAAAGAATGACTGGCAGTCCCACTGCTTTGGAAGGATTGTCAATTACAAAAATAAGTTTAACTTCAAAACATATTACACTAAATTTTCAAAGACTAACATTTGAAAGCTCTGTGCCAACTTTTAGCTGCAGCTGTAGTGGAACACACTAAAAGCTTTGTTTTAAGACAAAAGCAATGAAATAAAAAACAATGACCATATATTTGCCTTTTTCCAATGAAGGACTAATCACATAAAAGTCAGAAAAGAATGCACTGAACAAATTCTTACAGAACACTCAAACATAAAACTTGTTTAAGAATGTGTGTACTGGGGTGAATTCAACTATAACATATTGTAAGAACTTTTGTAATTCCTGTAAATGTACCCCCCGTACAACTATAAAAAAATAAAATTTTTTAAATTTAAAAAAAAAAAAAAAAAAAGCCAAGCACCGGTGGTTCACGCCTATAATACTAGCTACTCAACAGGCAGAGATCAGGAAGATCAAGGTTCGAAGCCAAGGTTCAAATTCAAGAGACCCTATCTTGAAAAAAACCTTCACAAAAATAGGGCTGGTGGAATGGCTGAAGGTGAAGGCCCTGAGTTCAAGCCCATGTACCACAAAAAAAGAAAAAAAAAAACTGGTGGAGGAGGTGGCACAAACAATGTATACACATGTAAGTAAATGTAAAAACAATAAAATAAAAGGAGAAAAAAAAATTAAAGCCACTGAATACTGGATTTTAAAAAAATGTACATACTTTACAAGTCAGAATCAAAGGTAAAGAGGCTAGAGAGACACAGCTTAGAGAGAGAGCTAGAGGCTCTGGGTTCAGCACCAAAAAAAAAAAAAAAATTCTGGTGGGGAGGAGAATTAAAGGCAAACACATTCAAAGATTAAGAAAATTAACACTGGGATGAGGGCATGGTTCAAGTGGTAGAACAACTGCAAGGTGGAGGCCTGAGCTCTACCCCAGAACCACACCAAAAAAAAAAAAAAAAAAAAAAGAAAATTAACACTAATACATAACAAATAGGAGATTAAGCCATTCTTTTTAACAAGTCTGAAGTTAGAAAGCCTTTATTTTTGTGTGTGTGTGTGATGCTGAAGATCAAACTGGGCCTCATGCATGCTGGCTGCTGCACTCTACCATTGAGCTACACCAACATCCCAAAGACTTTATTTTTAAAACAGTGAATACTGATCAGGAAATACTTCTGTACTACCAATTCTAAACCAAGAGTTTGCCACACTCTGTTCCCAAATACTAAGCAAAAATATTACAATTAGCAACCCCCATTGACTTTCTCATATTGTTGTTTTGTTTTTAACATTTCATTAAAGATTATTTAACTAGTACCCATTTATCTTAACTATCAGTTGTCTCAAATCAAAATTACTTCTTGGAAATTAAACTTTATCCATTAAAGTTAGCCAGTATAGTTTGCTAAAAAATGGTTTGTTAGAAAGTTACACACATACACACAAAATTAAATAAATAAAAAGAAAAAATATCACATAAATCCCATTTTGTGCAATATTTCCAGTTATCTCCAAATAAGCACTTACACTTGACAGAAAATGTACCTCAACATGGACACAGTAATACCTTTTCCAATTTGTCACTAATAACTTGTATCTTTACTAAGTAATTTTAAATATCTGCATCTGAAAAAGTGTAAGTGTATGCTGACCACAAAAGAACCAAATAGTTGGTAAGGATACAACTCTTACATAATATTTTTTAAACGTCCTTTTGCTAGGTATTCAGTAACTATCAGGCATGAATATTAAACATATCCATGTTACTCCCATTTTCAAAGTTGACCTAATTTAAAACCTGAAACTGAGGTTCTACCTTGCAAAGGGAAGAAAACAAGAGTTAAGTAATTGGGTAGTCCTAAAAATACACATCACAACTACATGACTAAGATACTCATTTATGCCTTGTGCCAAGATAACCCCTCCCTTCAAAACAAACTAAAATTGACTCACTGGCCTATTTTACTTAATTTTGGAAATGGAAAAAAAAAAAATAGATGGTTTCCTAAACACTCATTTCCTCTATCTCTGCCTCCACAGTTTAAAAGACTTTAAGTCTTCAGTCTGGGATTCCTCCCTACAAAAATGCTTAAGTCCAAACAGAAGTTAAAAAACAAAACAAAAAACACCCTCAGTATTTGTATCTTGTTATCTACCTTTGAGTTAAAAAAAAACAAAACAAAACTGGATTCCAGAATAATTACTAGAAAACAATAGAAATGTCTACGGTGGCTGCCTAAGGAGCCATCCCACCCAGAAAACCCATCTCACCTCGATGATACTTTTCATCTGTGAGATGACCCCATTCTGCTGTAGTTAACCACCTGGGCAAATCTTTTAATTTTGACGCCCTAAAGGAGAAACTATCAATCTCCCTACAAGATATGTTCCACCCTTTATGGATGTTTCTCCATGTAGAAAACATAGCTAGTAAACTTGGTGGCGGAGCGAGGACAAAGGGCATGTGAAAAAAAGCAATGACTGAGGTAAATAGAAAAGGAAGGTAGATAGAGTACTAAATTAAAGTTCCCTTAAGTAGATATTGGCAAGACAACGCAGTACCCTTTAAAAAAACAAAACAAAACAAACAAAAAATCACCCTCCAGGGTCCTCTTCCTCGTTACCACCCACTGGAATGGAAAATTGGAACTCCCACTACCCCAGAAGCCCAACGAGTCCTTAAAATGTCAGAGCACTGGCAGCCTCGGGAATGACAGCCTAATGCCCATCCCCCATCCTCACCCTCCCCCCCAAAAAATAAAAGTCCAATCCAATAAAGTGCAGGTCACCCTGCCCTCTGGGGCAGTTCCAGCCTGCGCAGAGAGGGCTCTGATGGGAGGTCGAGAAAGGAAAGACAGACCATCTCGCTTTCCACACACCCTCAGCTGGAGAAACAAAACAAAGACAGTCCTCCTTCCCCGGTAGTCAGCAGCCCAGCCAGAGAGGCTTTCCCATTTCCCGATGCAGTGTGGCCTCCCGCCCCCGCCCCATGACAAAGAAAAGGCACTGGGTGAGCGAGGCCTTCCAGCCTCCGAGGTGGGGGAGGGGGCTGCGAGGTGAGAAGCCCCCTCGGCTCAAACTGCTGGTTCCCCAAAAACAGCCCGAAGTGGCGGAGAGCCGAGGCCTCCGCCGGGGAGAGCCCGGTCCGGGAGGGGTGGGGGTGGTACCTTGAAGTAGCCGCCTTCGTAGAGCGTGTTGGGGGGTCCGAAGATGGCTACCTCCCAGTTGTAGAGGTCGGACTCATCCACCAGGGTGATCCGGAAGCCCTCCACCGGCTCCTCCTGCAGGGATTTCAGCTCGAGCATCAGGGCCTTCTGCGAGCTGGTCATCTGCTGCTGGGCCATCGCGACGGCGGCGGCCGTGCGGGGCCGGTGCCCCAGTCCTCACGCACCGGCCGGGCCGGACCAGGCCCCTCCCCTCCGCTGCGCTCCGCTCGCCCTCGGGCCGGGCCCCAGCCGCCACACGCCCGGCGGGCCGGACCAGGCCCCAGACGGCCCGCGGGCCCGCCCGGGGTCCTCTTCACAGCAGACGCAGGCCGGCGCGGGCCCACCTCTTACACTCGGGCCGTGAGGGGGAGCGTTTGGGGAAGTTGAGGGAATTCGCTCCCGGTCCGGGGCCTCCCCCCCCCCGAAGGGGGCCTCTACTTGGGGCGGCGGGGGGGGGAGAGGAGGTGGAAGCGGAGGAAGGAGGCAGAGGACCGGCGATGATAAGGGGAGGGGGCCGGGTCGGCCCGGGAGCGCCGCGCTCGCTCGCCCTCTTGTTTTCCTCGGGGGCCGCCGGGGCCAGGGGGCGCGCGGGGCCGCAGGGGGAGGGGGAGCGCGGTGCGTGGGGGTCTCGGGCGGCGGCGGCGGCGGCTGCGCGGGGGGAGGGGCGGCGGAGGAGAGCTAGAGCGCCTCACGCCGCGGGAGCGCCGGAGCCGAGAAGGAGGGAGGGAGAGAGGGAGGAGGGGCGCGCGCCGGGAGGGGGGCGGCTCTCCGCGGCTGCGGCCCGACGCGCGTGCGCGCGCCCCTCCCTCCTTCCTCCGCCTCCCGCCTCGCCTTCCTCCTCCTCCTCCTCCTCCTCCTCCCACTCCAACTTCCCCGCCTCCTCCCTATCCGCCAGCACCGTGGCGGCGCTTTATGACGCTGGCGCGTGTGCCCCCACTCTTAAAGGCGACAGCGGCACTGGGGGCCAAGGGCAGGCCGCAAGGGATCGTCTTTTCCCCTAAGTGACGGTTGTGCGGCTGCACGCCACGGTTCCAGAGGCGTGTCCCGGAAGGGACCTGAGGTCGTGGAGCGCTCCGCACCCTTCCCCTCTGTGTGTCCACTGCAGCCATCCTCTGACTAGCCCTAGTACTCTGCAGGCTCCTCTCCACGACACCCAGTCTGTTGCCCCTGCACTTAATAGGGGCTTGAATAGGGCATGCTGAGAATGTGGGTCTTCCCGACACGTCTCCCGCAGGTCTAGTCCCCTAGTCACTGTGCCCCTGGGCAACTGTCCACCTTAGGGAAGGAAAAATGGAGGAGGCTACATATGCCAGCTTCTACTTCCCTCACTAACTACAAAGGGGAAGTTATGAGGAAACAGAAATAATAGACTCAACTTCAGTTTCTGGCCCTTCCCAGTGTGATTTGGGGCGAGTGCTCTGGGTGTACCTCGCTCTACCTATTGTAAAAGTACTGTGGTTGGACTTTGGCCTTTCAGCTTGATGGTCCAATCTCGAACTGAAGAACTTCTAAGATCATCATGTCTGAAGTGAGGATGTGTATACCATGTTCAGTCCCTGTAATTTAGAATAATCTTCTCTTAGGGAAAGCATATTCTATCACTGTCTGAACTGTTTCCTAGAAAAGTCCCCTAGGGTGCTGTGAGAGTCCCACACACCATTTTGGAATCAGAAAGATCTTTGTTCCAACTCATTTACATTACCTCTCCCTGTTTCATCAGCTTCAGTAAAAGCGGGATAATTATACCTAACACAAGCAGTCATAGTGATTAAATGAGATCATCTATGTATGGTACTTAATATACATGGTAAATGATCCATGAAGAGGAACGTTTAAAAAAATTTTAAAAAGCCGTAGTTGTATTCTGGATACCACCCTTTCTTTTTTTTAATTAGCATATATCATTTGTTCAACAGGGTTTCTTTGTGATACTTCAACACGTGCATACAATGTCCCTTGATCAAATTCACCCCCTTTATCTCACTCTCTCCTTTCTCACCCTTTTTTTAACACATTTTATTTTTACAACTGTTTTACAGAAAAATTGAGAAGATAGTAGAGTTTCTGTATATCTGACAGTGTTAAAGTAAACATAAATATAGTACATTTATTGCAATTAATAAACCAGTATTGACACATTAATATTAACTGAAGTTCAGGCTTTATTCCCATTTTTATCTAATCCTTCCCTCCCCATCATCCTCTCCCTGCCCCCCTCAACTGGGGCTTGAACTTAGGGTTTTGTGCTTGCAAAGCAGGGGCCAGGCACCAGTGGCTCATACCTGTAATCCCTAGCTATTCAGGAGGCAGAGATCAGGAGAATAGAGGTTCAAAGTCAGCTGGGGTTAATAGTTGGTGGAATGGCTCAAAGTGTAGGCCCTGAGTTTGAACTCCAGTATCAAAAAAAGCAGGGGTTCGACTGCTTGAGTCATTCCAGCAGCCATTTTTTGCATTGGGTTTTTCAACTATTACCTGGCCAGGTTTCAAACTGTGATCCTCCTGCTCTCTGTCTCCCAGGTAGCTAGGATTACAGATGTGAGGCACTAGCTCCTCATTACATTTAGTCTTCATGCTTTCCTAGACTCCTCCTGACAGTTTCTTAGACTTTTTGTTTTTTGTGGTACTGGTGTTTGAACTTAGGGCCTACACCTTGAGCCACTCCACCAGCCATTTTATGTGATGGGTTTTTTTTGAGATAGGGTCTCAAGAACTATTTACTCCTGCTACCCCTCCCCCTGAAACTTTGAACTGTGATTTTCCTCATCTCTGCCTCCTGAGTAGCTAGGATTATAGGCCTGAACCACCAGTGTGCAGCAAGATTTTTTTTTTTTAATTCAGGCAGTCTTGCTATATAGCCAGGCTGGCTCAAATTCTCAAGCCTCTGTATCCACCTCCCAAGTGCTAGGATTTCAGGGATGCACCACCATGCCCAGCTAGGTCAAATATTTTGTAGACAGTCCCTCAGTTGTGATTTGTGATGTTTTTCCTCATGAGGTTTTTGTTTTATTTTGTTTTGGCAGAACTGGAGTTTGAACTGAGGGCTTCACATTTACAAAGCAGGCACTGTACCACTTGAGCTTCACCTCTAGTCCATTTTGCTTTGGTTATTGGAGATGGGGGTTCTCACAAACTATTTGACAAGATTCTCCTGATCTCAGCCTCCCAGTAGCTAAGATTATAGGCATGAGCCACTAGCGTCCAGCTTAGGGTATGATTTTTTTTTAAGAGAAAGATCACATGCCTTTTTTTTATCACATCATATCAAGGTCACATAATAAAGCAATGTGATGTTGACCTCAATTACCTGGCTGAGGTAGTATGTCAGGTGCCTCTACTGTAAACTTATTCTTCCTCCCCGCCCCCATCCCTTCTATACTATATTATTTGGAAAGAAGTCACTATGTACAATCTCCACCTAAGAAGTCCTTCATTTTTTTTCTTTTTCTTGGTCTTATTTCCCCTCATAAATGAGGTCCCAGTACTTTAAAGCATCATTGTCTAGCCCCAATCCTGTCTAGGTCTTGAGACTAAACTCCACTGGAATTAGAGCTCCCCTCAAGGAAGAGGAGTGTCCTAGTCAAAGCATTCATCCCAAAATGATGGTGTATGCCTAGTTCAGGCTTCCCTTCCACCACCATTCAATTTAGGGACAAGGCGATTGCTAACCTGGAAACCTGGGAGTTGATGTTGACACCATTAATAGCAAGGCTGTGAGTAGACAAATAAGCAGAAAGTTCATCTTCAAAGCATTTCGCCCACATTAACTCATCATAGCCCCACCCTGACCTATAGGATGATAGATCTCTTGCCTAAGCCAGTGGAATACACACTTGCCACCCAGATCAGTAGCTGCTCCCTGGGCTGAATTTACAAACTTGTACTAAGTATCCACTGTGGGCATGGCCCTGAGCTGGAAGGCTGGCAGTCTAATATGTAAATGAGAATCATACTCAAGGCTCTTGGTTCTCAGGTTAGAGGAACTGCAATTCCTCAGAACTAGCTCAAATCTTTTTATCCTAGCCTGTAAAGACATTATCTATTAGCCTACTGCAACTGTATCTTATTTATCCTTGTATCTCAGCAACCACCACACCATCTGACACAATGTAGACACTAAGTAATTGTTCTCAGAGACTTACAGCTAAGGGCAGGAAGACAAGACAATCCAAGACAATCCATATCACAAAATAACACATTGAACCCCACCCTCCATCTCTATGTGTAGACTGTCTCAAGCACATTGTATGTGCTCAAGACTAGAAATTCCATAATCATATGTCAGCTACTCCAATGTTTGTTGTATATTAGGACATCAAAAGATAATTGTCAAAGAATGGCAGAAACCTTCCTAGAGATTTCTATGTTGTTTCCTAATGGCAGGTAGACATTGACTTGACTGATTGGTGCCCTCTTGTGGTAAAGAAAACACAGTACCTACCCTCAATCTAAGGCATTACCTGCTACTTACCAACCAGGGCACTTCTATAGAATCCACTAAGATACATGGAGAAAGAGTTATTTTGATTTTGAAGAACAACTTTTGGACTGGGGATATAGGTCACTGGTAGAGCATTTGCCTAGCATGCTCTAGACCTTGGGATCAATCCCTAGCAAATACCCCTCACCCTGCTCATGACTCTTTTTTAAGAGGCCAGTATTTTTTTTAATTTAACATGTTAAAATATATGTAAAGACTACACTGCTCTTAGGATCCACAATCTTTCTCTAATAATAATAGCTAACATTTGCTAAGCATTACCATGTGAAAGGCTTCTTACATGCATCTCATTTAGTCCTCACAAAAATCCATTCCATGGTCATTACTAGAATTACTGAGAAAAATAAGGCTTGAAGAAATTTTTTAGAAGTTACCCAAGGAGATTCAGTAAATGGAAGAACCTGGAGGTTAACCACCTCATTTCATGTTTTTGTTATTGTTACTGTTTTATTGCCTGGTTTTTTGTTTGTTTTTTATTTTATTTGTGTGTGTGTGTGTGTGTGTTATGAGGGTTTGAACTTAGGGCCTACACCTCGAGCCACTTTACTAGCCCTTTTTTGTGATGGGTTTTTTCAAGACAGGGTCTCTCAAACTGTTTGCCAGGGCTGGCTTTGAACCAAGATCTTCCTGATCTCTGCCTCCTGAGTAGCTAGGATTATAGGCATAAGCTGCCAGCACCCTGCAGCTGCCTTAAAAAAAAAAAAAAAAAGGGTCCTGTTATGTAACCAATGATCTTCCTGCCTCAGCCTCCCCAGTGCTGGGATTATAGGTGTCAGCCACTACACATCCAACTTCAGCATGACTGTTCTTAATCACTGTAATGTTTCCAGCCTAATGTGGCCAAAGAAATCTGTGTCATCACAGCACCACCCACACTGTACTGTAGCTATTTGTTTACTTCTTCCAGTCAGTGAGGTTCTGTTGTGAAAGAGCCATTCATTCATTATTTCTTTCACTCATCACTCAACAAATATATATTGAGTGCCTCCTATGTGACGGGCCCTGGGATAAACACTAATGATATAGTAATGAATGAGATAGAAATAATTGGTCCCTGCCATCATAAAGCTTACATTCTAATGGCAGAACCAAAAACAAGTAGTTAGGGCTAGGAGTGCAGTTCCGTGGTCAAGCATTTGCCTAGCATTTGAGGTTCTAGGTTCAATCCCCAGAACTGCAAAAAGACAAAGCTAAATAAAACAACAACCCTTTCCCCCAAAAAATAGTTAGTAGATAAATAATATTGTTACAGGTGTTTTTTGTTTTGTTTTGTTTGCAGTACTGGTGTTTGAACTCAGAGCCTTTGCCTTGAGCCACTCCACCACTTTTTCGTGATGGGTTTCTTTGAGATAGGGTCTCACTATTTACCTGGGTTGGCTTCGAACCTTGATCCTCCTGATCTCTGCCTCCAGAGAAGTAAGGATTACAGGCATGAGCCACCAGCACCTGGTTTTGATACAGGTTTTGAGAGTACCAGGGAAAATGATTAAAGGGGGGCCTAAAAAAATGTTGGGGCCAGAACAGTGTTATACAGCTATAGTCCCAGCTACTTGGAAGGCTGAATTTGAAGGATTTCTTAAGTCCATGAGTCCAAGACCAGGGCACTGGCACTGGTAATACTAATGAGATAATATTCACAAGTTGGGGATATAGCTCAGTGGTAGACTGCTTTCCCTAGCACTGCTTCTCCCAGCACTGTGTGTTGGGAGAAGGGAGGCATTAAAAAAACAGAGCATGGGGCACAGGTGGCTCATGCCTGTAATCCCAGCTACTCAGGAGGCAGAGAGCAGGAGGATCTCAATTCAAAGCCAGCTCAGGCAAATAAACTTTGTGAGACCCTATCTTGAAAAAGCCCATCATAAAAAAGGAAGGACTGGTGTAGTGGTTCAAAATGTAGGCCTTGAGTTCAAGCCCCAATACCACACACACACACACACACACACACACACACACACAAAGCAGAGCAAACAACTTGGGTGAAATCCCTATGGTGGGAAAAGAAAGCTGATGTTACTGAAGCTCAGTGAGCAAGACCAAGGGGTAGAGTAGCACGAAAAAGGTTGGGTTAATTTTTTTCTTTTTTACTGAATATTACTATGTAGCCCAGGTTGGCCTGGAACTCACCAAGTTAAATTTCCTGCATTTTATAAATGGAGAATGCTTATGTAATAGGTAAACTTTGATCTTAATAGATATATGGCCAAGTATTTGGGGCTCTGTGCAATTAATTTTAAAATGGTTTTGTAAAATAACATGTAAAAGTGGCCAAATGTGGTGAGGCATCTTTATAATCCTGGCAGAGGCAGGAGTATCAAGAGTTCAAGGTACTAGCTATTTAGGAGGCTGACATAGGGAAGATGGGTGTTTGAGACCAGCCTGGGCAAATAGTTCATGATACCCCATCACTAAAATAACCAGAGCAAAGTGACTGGAGAAGTGGCTCAAGCAGTAAAGCACCTGCTTTACAAGTCTGAAGACCTAAGTTCAAACCCCAGTCCCTGTTAAAAAAAAAAAAAAAGAAGTATTTAAGGCCAGCCCCTGCAAAGTTAGCTAAACCCTATCTCAAAAAGGCTGGGGGGTATAGCTCAAGTGGTACAGTGCTTGCCTCAAGCTCAAAACCCCTGAGTTCAATCCCCAGTATCACAAGTAAATAAAAAAAATACATAAAACACATAAAGACAAATTTGGCAAAATATTAACCCTAAGTGAATCCAAATGAAAGGTATAGGTAGGAGTGTTCATTATATTATTCTTGCATCATCGTTGTGTTTCAAAATTTAATAATTATTTTAAATTGTAAGTGAAAATGATAGCAAAGTTTATTAGGACAGGAATACACGTTTTTTTTTTTTTTTTTGGCGGTACTGGAGTTTGAGCTCAAGGCCTGTGTAGCTAGGCTTATAGACGTTAGTCACGAGCGCCAGGCAGGAATACATTTTTCAATGGACTGAAAGTGGGTCGTCTCTAATAACCAATTTTTTTTTTTAACAGTACTAACGTTTGAACTCAGGATCTCAAGCTTGCTAGGCAGGCGCTGTCCCACTTGAGCCACCAGCCCTGCCAGCCCTGAATTTTTAATGATACAGTTACTACAACAATGTAGAACATTCAGTGTTACTTGGACTAAACCTGGCTGTAAAGACGATCGAAAATAAATACAATGCAAGATTTTGGAGTTGTAAGTGAGAAGATGTGATGGATGCAGAAAATGGGAAAAAATCACTAGCATAAAGAAATCACTCAGCACCAGAGCACCTAAACCAGCTCCGCCCTTCCCCTTTGGCCCCTAGAAAGGGAAGTGAAGAAACCAGGCGACCGCTAAACTACTCCCAGGGTTCCGGTCTAGCGTCGCGAAGAGGCCGTAAATCGTAGAACCCTGCTTAGTCCCTCCCACAGTGGGCGGTCTGACCAATGGTGAGCGACACAGCGGGCATTAACCCAATGGCTCTGAGGTGGGTGGAGTCCTGCGGGAATGGGCTCTTCTGGATTGTTAGAGTTAGACATGTCTGTCCTCGTGGGGAGGTAGGCTATGTAGATTCGCCTTGAATCCGAAGTGCCGGAGACTGCTATGATGGGTCCAGCCCCAGCCGGTGAGCAGCTCCGCGCAGCGGCGGGGAAGCCAGAGGTGGGTTGAGCCAACTGGAGGAAGGGAGGCTCAATGCTTCAATTTGAGAGCCCTCGATAGCGGGGCCTGACGGCTAGTCCGGGAGGGACACGAGGGTGGCTCATTCAGGAGGAGCCGGTTTCCCCTGTGCCTCCAGCTTAGGGCACCGAAAAACAGATTGCTAGGGGAGATGTACCTGGCAGGATTTGGATAGAGGAAGAGTGAAGAAGGTATTTGAGAAGTCCCAAGGCTGTAACAAAAGAGGAAACTTCCGATTAGTGGTCTCTGAAAACACAAGGGCTTGAGCATTGCTTCGCGGAGTGCTCAGGAAACTTTCATCTCTACCCACTGTACCCCAAATAGAGCCCCTTATTTTTGCTGTCAGGATTCACCAAGTAATGGTTATCCTGAGTTTCACAGAATCTGACTTTCATTCAAACGAGGGACAGGAGCAGGTTAAGCCTTTCCCCACAACTTAACCATGGTGGCACTTTAGTTGTCTTTTACCTCTATGATCACAGGTGATGGAAAAAGCTTTGGAAGGCACAGGCAAGGAGACAAGGAAGGCATCCTCCAGGAAGCGTGCAGTAGCTGGGTCCCCAGCAGAGAGCCTCCTGCAGCCAGTGAAGCTCAGCCGAACTGAACTGTACAAGGAACCTACCAATGAGGAGTTGAATCGCCTTCGGGAGACGGAGATCCTGTTCCACTCCAGCTTGCTTCGTTTACAGGTACTGTTGGGTGCCTGGGACTTAGGTTAGAGGGGCTTGCTTGGGACTCTGCGGCTGATGGACTCTTCCTTGCCCTCTTTTAAAGATAGAGGAGCTACTGAAGGAAGTGCGACTGTCAGAGAAGAAAAAGGACCGGATTGATGCCTTCCTAAGGGAGGTCAACCAGCGGATCAAGAGGGTGCCCTCAATCCCTGAAACAGAGGTAAGACAAGTGGCCTGGGGAACTGGGAAGCAAGCCCTTTGATGGGGGCATCTCAGCCAGAGCCTTGCTATTCTCTTGAGGGGGCACAATGTTAGAGAGCTCATTCTCACTGCAAGAAAGCAGCTGAGACTATGGTCATTCATCTGTTCATCACTCAATAAGCACTTAGGTGTCTTGCATTAATTTGTGTTCTTAGGATACATTAGTAAACAAAATAGCCTATGCTCTGTAGTTGGAGTTATGGACAATAGAGAACAAGCATGACAAAGTAACTGAATAGCAGTATTTGAAGGTAGTAAGTGCTATGGAAAATGGGAAAAGTAGTATAAGGTAAGGGGATTAGGAGTGTTTGCAATAATGGACCGAAACCTATCAGCGCCATTATTGCCAACAAGGAGTATTAGGGGACAGAAGTGGTTTGCATTTTTAATAGGGTGGCCAGAATAAGCCTTACTGAAGTGACATTTGTATAAGGATTTGAAGGGGTTCAGTCAGCCATATAGCTATCTGAGTAAGAGCATTCCAGGAAAGAAAATAACCAAAACAAAATCTCAAAGGTGGGAATATGCCTGGTAATGCTCCTTGGATTGAATGAGGGGAAGATAAAGAAGATGAATTCAGAAAGGTAATGGGAGAAAGTGGCATTATGCAGGGCCTTGTAGCCAAGGTAAGGACTTTGGGGGCTAGAGGTGTAGTTCAATAATAGAGTGCTTGCCTGTCACGTGCAAGGCTCTGAGTTTGATCCCCACTACTACAGAAAAAGAAAGAAATAAAAAAAGGACTTTGGCTATTGCTATAGGTGAAGTGGAAGCCACTGCTGCATTTGTTTGTTTTGGGTTGTTTTTTTTTTTAATGGATATTTTTTGCACAGTAGGATACTCTACCTTTTAAAAGTTTACTTATTTTAAAAAGCTCAATCAGGGACTGGCAGAGTGGCTAAGTGGTAGAGTGCCCTGAGTTCAAACCCCAGTAGAATGGAAGGGGACAAAGGTAAAGTCAGGGGAAATAGTTGAATACCTATTGTGCACTGAAAAAATGGTGTTATCTCAAACTAGGATGGAAATCAGAGAAGTGGTTCGTTACTGAATATGTACTTCCTTTTTCTTTTCTTTTCTTTTTTTTTTTTTTGGCACTGGGGATTGAATGCCAGGCCTTCATGTTGCTCCACAAGGATTCTATCACTACATCCCCAGTCCTAAATATATTTTGATCATAAAATAAATATCTGGATTGGATACAGTGGCTCATACCTATAATCCTAGCTACTATGGAAGTAGAAATCGGGAGGGTCATGATTTGTGAGATACCATATCAACCAATAAAAAGGCTGAGCATGATGGTACACACCAGTTATCCCAGGTATGAGGGAACTGTAAATAGGAGGGTCTTGGTCCAGGCCAGCTCAGCCATAAAAGCTAGAGCCTATCCCAAAAACACTTAAAGCAAAAATAGGCTGGGAGCATGGCTCAGGTGGTAGAGCATCTGTCTTCAAAGTGCAGGGCCCTGAATTAAAACCCCAGTATTGGTAAAACAAACAAACAAAAAAAACCATAACTTTAAAAAAAATAAATTTTTTTTTATTTTATTATTCATATGTGCATACAAGGCTTGGGTCATTTCTCCCCCCTGCCCCCACCCCCTAAAAAAATAAATGTTCTGATGTGGGTATGATGGTGCACTCCTGTAATATCAGCACTTGGGAGGCTGAGGTAGGAGGATCTCCAGTTTGAGGTCATCCCAAAAGACCAAAAATCATATGTTCTCCCTCATATGCGGACATTAGATCAAGGGCAAACACAACAAGGGGATTGGACTTCAATCACATGATAAAGCGAGAGCACACAAGGGAGGTATGAGGATAGGTAAGATACCTCAAAAACTAGATAGCATTTGTTGCCCTCAGTGCAGAGAAACTAAAGCAGATACTTTAAAGCGACAGAGGCCAATAGGAGAAGGGGACCAGGAACTAGAGAGAAGTTTAGTTCGAGAAGAATTAATTTAGAAGGTAACGCACATGTACAGGAAATCAACTCCCTATATAGCTATCCTTATCTCAACTAGCAAAAACCCTTGGTTCTTCCTATTATTGCTTATACTCTCTTTAACAAAATTAGAGATAAGGGCAAAATAGTTTCTGGGTAGTGAGGAGTAAGGGGGGATAAGGGGTGAGGGATGGGGGAGGGTTAAGGGAGAGGGTGGGGGAAAAGGGGGAGAAAAGGTACTGGGCTGGCAGATTGGAGCCCTGAGTTTAAACCCTGGTACTGCCAAACACACACAGAGAGACAGACAGACAGACAGACACACACACACACACACACACACACACACATACACACACGTGTACTGATTTAAAAAATTAGCTGGGTGCTGGTGGCTCACACCTGTAATCATAGCTACTCAGGAGGCAGAGATCAGGAGGATTATAGTTCAAAGCCAGCCTAGGCAAATAGTTCTCAAGACCCTATTTTGAAAAACCCTTCACAAAAATAGGGCTGGTGGAGTGGCTCAAAGTTAAGGCCCTGAGTTTAAGCCCCAGTACCACAAAACAAATAAACAAACAAACAAACAAAACCCTAATAACTCTAAGCTGGGCATGATAGTACATGCCTGTAGATCTAACTACTTGGGGGACTGAGACAGGAGAGTGGCTTGGGCCCAGAAGTTCAGGGCCAGCCCGGGTGATATTGTGAGAACCCGTCTCTTTAGAAAACAAAACCTAATAATTAAAACTACCATGCAAAAAATAAAAATTTTAAAAATGGTCCATAAAACATTCTCTCCTTAGCTAGGCGCTGGTGGCTCATGCATGTAATCCTAGATACTCAGGAGAATTAGGAGGATTGTGGTTCAAAATCAGCCCAGGCATAGTTCACCAGACCGTATCTCGAAACACCCTTCACAAAAAAGGTCTGGTGGAGTGGCTTAAGGTTAGGCCCTGAGTTCAAGCCCCAGTATGGCAAAAAAAAAAAAAAAAAAAAAAAAAATCTCTCCTGAGCTTTGCAATGCATTGTTATTATTAACCAATCTCTTTTTTTCCTTAGTGGAACTGGGGTTTGAACTCAGGGCTTAGTACTTACAAAGCAGGTGCTCTGTCACTTGAGCCACACCCCTAGTCCATTGTGCTCTGGCTATTTTGTCCAAACTGGCCTTGAACTGAGATTGTCCGGATCTCAGCCAGTATTACAGGTGTAAGCCACTACTGCCTTACAGTTCAAGTTTTAAACATTGGTGTGTTAAGATGTCTTACTAGACATCAAGGGGTCATGTAAGGAAGACATTAGAGTCAACACGTGTCACTATCTCTGTCCCCACAGCTCACTGACCAGTCATGGCTCCCAGCTGAGGTTCGAGTACCCCTTCACCAAGTGCCCTATGCTGTGAAGGGTTCTTTCCGCTTCTTGCCTCCAACCCAGGTCACTATTGTGGGCAGCTACCTTCTGGGCACCTGCATCCGGCCAGACGTCAATGTGGATATGGCACTAACCATGCCCAGGGTAAGGTCTAGACTTCGGGGAAAAATGAGGCCTACTACTCTAAAGGCTGCCTAGGTGGGCCCTCGGTAGCGTTGCTGCCCCTTTGGAACTTTGCGTTTCTTGTCTGAGAATCAGGTGTGGTGTTGCTAGCTCTGGCACAGGCACTCCAGAGTCAGCAGAGAAGCTCTGGGATTCTCACTTTGCTTTCTTTTAGCCTCTGAGCCGCACAAGTACTCATGTTCCTGACCCTCTTTCTCCTCTGATCCCTTTAGGAAATCTTACAGGATAAAGATGGGCTGAACCAGCGCTACTTCCGCAAGCGTGCCCTTTACCTGGCCCACTTGGCTCACCACTTGGCCCGAGACCCCCTCTTTGGCAGTGTTCGCTTCTCCTACATCAATGGCTGCCACCTGAAACCCATTCTGCTGCTACGGCCACATGGTGGGCTAAGGGCACTGTACAGAGTGATAAATCTGGAGGGGGAGGCACAATGTCCTTAAGGCCTAGAGGAGTAGGAATAGAAGCTAAAAGAGTCAGGTGAGAGGCATAGGCCTCAAGTTTGAGGAGAAAGGTTGGACCTCACATTCTGAAGTGGGAAGGCATGGAGCACACAGCAGAAGAGGGGTAGTGCAGGGACCCATGTGGTTCCAGGAACTGTAACGTCTCCATACTTTCTGTCTCCACCCAGGGAAGGATGAGCATCTGGTCACTGTACGTCTGCATCCATGCCCTCCTACTGATTTTTTTCGTCCATGCCGCTTGCTGCCCACTAAGAACAATGTGCGCTCTGTCTGGTACCGAGGGCAGAGTCCTCCAGAGGGTGGTGAGCAGGCACTGGTGTCCAAGTTTGCTGGAAGGTGGTTGGGGATGTGATAGAGACTTCTCTTCATGGCTTCTCTTTTCCTCTCACAGGTAGCCTAGAGCCTCCTACTCCCCACTACAACACCTGGATCCTGCAGGATACAGCTCTGGAGTCTCACGTGCAGTTGCTGTCAACTGTGCTGGGCTCTGCTCTGGGGCTGAAGGATGGTGTGGCACTTCTGAAGGTCTGGCTGCGTCAGCGGGAGCTAGACAAGGTGAGTGAATTGGGGTTGGCCCAGCCTTCCTGCCTCATTTGTGTGATGGACTGGCTCTGAGCTCAGACCTCTCCCCCATCTCTCTTTCAGGGCCTGGGTGGGTTTAGTGGGTTCCTTATCTCCATGCTGGTTGCTTTCCTCGTGTCCACGCACAAGATCCACACCACCATGAGCAGCTACCAGGTCCTGAGAAGTGTCTTGCAGTTTCTGGGTGAGACAGCTAGCCTGAGAAAGGCTAAAAGTTCCATTCATCCCATGAATCCTCTCATTTTATCAGGGATCCTTCAGTTCCTTGCCATCAGACAGATGAGCAAATGGAATCCTGGAGGCAGGGAGGTGTAGGCACCCAGGCTGAGGGAGGGTGTCATTGAGGCTGGGTCTCCAGGGAAGAGCACCTTTTGACATACCCACCTTCTTTGGTTCACTCCAGCCACCACAGATCTGACAGTCAACGGGATCAGTTTATGTCTCAGCTCAGATCCCTCCTTGGTAAGTTGAAGAAGGGCAGGTCTGTGCCAGGAGTCCTGAAGATAAGGCTCAACCCTGACTGGCTTCTCTACCCCCAAAGCTGGCTTTGGCTGACTTCCACCAGGCCTTCCCAGTTGTCTTCCTGGACTCCTCAGGCCGTCTCAACCTTTGTGCTGATGTCACTGCCACCACTTACCACCAGGTACCAATGGGCCCTTCTCCTGCATCCCCCAGATGTCAGGCATGTCTCCAGGTCAGTGCCCTTATGCCAACAAGGGGTACAGTGGTGGTCTCTCCTTACCCTGTGGCACCAGGTTCAGCATGAGGCACGGCTGTCTATGGCATTATTGGACAGCAAAGCTGATGATGGATTCCAGCTGCTGTTGATGACTCCTAAACCCATGATCCAGGCTTTTGACCACATCCTACAGTGAGTTAGGGGTGACAGGGTCCTATCTCCCTGGGGCCATTGATGAGGCAAAAGTCCTTGGGCAGGTGCTCAGCTTTTCCAGGGAGGAGGTTAGTGTAGGGGCAGCAAACCCTGATTCCCCCTCTTCATCTTTCTGTGCCTTTCTAGTCTCCGTCCACTGAGTCGCCTGCAAGCAGCATGTCACCGGCTAAAGCTCTGGCCAGAGCTGCAAGACAATGGTGGGGACTATGTCTCAGCAGCTTTGGGCCCACTAACCACCCTCCTGGAGCAGGGCCTGGGGTCCCGGCTGCACCTGCTGGCTCACTCTCGGCTCCCAGTTCCAGAGGTGAGCTGGTGTAGGTTGGGATTTCATGTGACTGAATGGGGCTGAATCCAGAGTTCCAAGGGACACAAAGGGCACACCATCCCTTTTGCCTGACCTTTCTAACTAGCTGGGGCTGAACCCAGGGTTCCCAGGGACACAAAGACCACACAAAGACTATTTTGCTTCACCTTTCTTTTTTTTTTTGCCCTTATTTCTAATTTTGTTGTAGAGAGAGTATAAGCAATAATAGGAAGGAACAAGGGTTTTTGCTGGTTGAGATAAGGATAGCTATCTATACAGGGCATTGACTCACATTGATTTCCTGTGCGTGTGTGTTACCTTCTAGGTTAATTCTTTTTGATCTAACCTTTTCTCTAGTTCCTGGTCCCCTTTTCCTATTGGCCTCAGTTGCTTCCAAGGTATCTGCTTTAGTTTCTCTGTGTTAAGGGCAACAAATGCTAGCCAATTTTTTAGGTGTCTTACCTATCCTCACCCCTCCCTTATGTGCTCTCGCTTTTATCATGTCCCCAAAGTCCAATCCCCTTGTTGTGTTTTCCCTTGATCTAATGTCCACATATGAGGGAGAACATACGATTTTTGGTCTTTTGGGCCAGGCTAACCTCACTCAGAATGATGTTCTCCAATTCCATCCATTTACCAGCGAATGATAACATTTCGTTCTTCTTCATGGCTGCATAAAATTCCATTGTGTATAGATACCACATTTTCTTAATCCATTTATCAGTGGTGGGGCATCTTGGCTGTTTCCATAACTTGGCTATTGTGAATAGTGCTGCAATAAACATGGGTGTGCAGGTGCTTCACCTTTCTAACTAGCTGAAAGTTAGTTTCCAGGCCAGGGTGGCAGTTTTTGGGTTGAATTCACCCTTTTTTACACACTACAGTGGGACATCAGCCAAGATCCACCAAAGCACAAAGACTCTGGGGCACTAACCCTGGGATTGCTCCTCCGGCCTGAGGGACTAACCAGTGTCCTAGAGCTCGGCCCAGAGGCGGACCAGCCTGAGGTGAGAAACCCCAGTCTGTACATTCAGAGGAGTAGGGGGACTATCCTCATGTTACCAGGGTTGAGGCCTGCCATGGAAGTTTCTGAGACTGTCCTTTTTTTGTTTTTGCTGTGCTCGGAATCAAACCAAGGGCTTTGGTGCATGCTGAGCAAGCACTTTACCACTGAGCTTAGTCTTCAGCCTAGTCTTTTTTTTTTTTAATTTTATTCCTTCCTTCTTGATCTCTCCCACCACCCTTTCTTTACCTTTCTTCAGGCTGCTGACTTCCGCCAGTTCTGGGGATCCCGCTCAGAGCTTCGGCGTTTCCAAGATGGAGCCATTCGGGAAGCTGTCGTCTGGGAGGCAGCCTCTCTCTCACAGAAGCGCCTTATTCCCCACCAGGTGGTCACCCACCTCTTGGCACTGTGAGTGTTAGCATCTTTGTGCCAGGAAGTATCTGTGGGTTGGGGAGCATTTTAGGTGGGTCTAGCCCAGGAGATTGGGGCAAGCAGCTTACCTTCTGCTGGGAGCATATATCCTCTAATGCCCTCACTGTGTCTCTGCCCCTCCTTCAGGCATGCTGACATCCCAGATATATGTGTCCACTATGTGGGTGGCTTCCTGGATGCACTGATCCAAGGCCTGAAAGAGGTAAGAGCCTTGGGGTCAAAGCTAGTGATTCTAAAGTAATCTATGTGGCAAGACTGGGGTGAGAGTCTGTTCCACCCCCTCCAGACTGCACTTCCTAGGGTGTCCAGCAGGGGGTTCTCTGGTTCTGCTGCAGCCTGAGCCATGGCAGAATCCCATGTGGTGCTGGGGTTTTATAGGGTCCAGCCTGACTGACTGTCTTCTCCCCTTCAGACCTCCAGCACAGGTGAAGAGGCCCTGGCAGTAGCAGTTCGTTGCTACGATGACCTCAGCCGCCTGCTGTGGGGACTGGAGGGTCTCCCACTAACTGTGTCTGCTGTTCAGGGAGCTCACCCAGTACTACGCTACACTGAGGTGAGGTATAAGGAAAGCCCTTTCTGCTCGGTATTCTTCACCCCGGCTCCAATCATCCATTATTCCTCCCTTCTACCACCTGACTCTTTGTAGTGTTACTGGAGTTTGAACTGAGGGCCTTGGCCACTTGCTAGGCAGGAGCTCTACCACTTGAGCTACACCTCCAGCTCAACCACCTGACTCTTGAGCATCCCTCTCAGCCCCCCTTCTTCCACAGGTATTCCCACCAACCCCAGTCCGACCAGCCTACTCCTTCTACCAGCACCTCCGGGAACGGGCCTCTCTGTTGCCTCGGCCTGATAAGCCCTGCCCTGCCTATGTGGAGCCCATGACCAGTAAGAGGGATCTTGGGAGAGAGTTGGAGGGGCAGTTTCTGCTCTAGGCTGCAGTATAAGACCTCTCACTTTTCTCCCTCAGTGGTTTGTCACCTAGAAGGCAGTGGTCAGTGGCCTCAGGATGCTGAGGCTATACAGCGGATCCGAGCTGCCTTCCAGCTGCGCCTGGCAGAGCTGTTGACTCAGCAGCATAGTCTGCAGTGCCGGGCCACTGCCACACACACTGATGTACTCAAGGTCAGGCTGGTGCAGAGTGGGGAATCCCCAGGAAAGGGGTCTGGAGATGTCAGGGTATGTGAGAGGACACCTTCAGGGTCCTAGGCTAATGTTCACTTCCCATCCCATACCCTCTTCCAACAGGATGGGTTTGTGTTCCGGATTCGAGTGGCCTATCAGCGAGAGCCACAGATCCTGAAAGAGGTGCAGAGCCCTGAAGGGATGATTTCACTCAGAGACACACCTGCCTCTCTCCGCCTTGAGAGAGAGACGAGGCTGTTACCCTTGCTCACCAGTGCCCTGCATGGGTAAGGCCCTTTGCACAGGCTTTTCCTGTCATAAGCCTTCTGCCCCATTTTGCTCTTCTGACTTCCTATCTCACTGGGTGGCCAGATGGCGCAATAGTTAGGGGTTCAAGTTCTGGAATCCTGGCCCTTTCAGGCTTTTCCACTGGGCTTTATTCTTCTCATCTCTAGAATGAGATTAACACTAGGATCAATCTCTTAGGACATTTATTGGGAGAACATGCAATTACGCGTGTAACCATTGCAGTGGGGGTATTCCTGGGCTCTGAGAGCCTGCATCTCACTGGTACTACCTTCCTCTCCAGACTCCAGCAGCAGCACCCAGCCTTCTCGGGTGTGGCTCGCCTGGCCAAGCGGTGGGTACGTGCCCAGCTTCTGGGTGAGGGGTTCACTGATGAGAGCCTGGACCTGGTAGCTGCTGCCCTCTTTCTGCATCCTGAACCCTTCACTCCTCCCAGGTGATTCCTTCCACCTTTTCTCTAGCCAAGAAGTTCTCTTTGGAGCCAGCTTTCATCCTTCATGTTGCACCTTTAGTCAAATGGGAGAGGGTAACTAAGGAAGTGGTAGAGGGGCCTCTAAGACATCCTTCCTTCCCGTAATCCACAATAAGAGATCTGGGCTCCCTAGATTGTTTTGGAAGCTTGGGTGGAGGTGGCTGGGCTCTTTTTCACTCTTTCTACTCAGCTCTCCCCAGGTTGGCTTCCTTCGGTTCCTTTCCCTGGTATCTACCTTTGATTGGAAGAACAACCCCCTCATTGTCAACCTTAACAGTGAGCTCACTGGTAAGTGGTAGGTCTGCTACAGAAACTCCCCTTTATGGATTGCACACTAGGATAGACATGGTTTCCCTGTCCATCTGTTAGGTTTTCTCTGTGCCTTCCCCAGTCCAGATATTGAAGCCTGACTATCTGGGAGTAAAAAATTGTCAGATGAAAGACCCCCAGGTTAAAGTCTGGCTATGGAGAAGTTGGCCTGTGTGGTGATCACTGACAAAATGGACTGATGTGATAAGCAGGCTACCTGGGGGCAGAGGAGAGTAGAGGGGAGCTCATGGAAGCAAGGAAGTGTAAACTAGATGTTCACACCTCTTGGGTATGGGAATGGCCATTTCCGGTTGTAATCTGAGGAGCTCTGGATCTCAGCAGAAAGTAGGGTGTCAGATTCCTAATTCCCCAGGTGTGTGGGAGCCCAAGGTGGTACAGGGGCAGGCCTTAGCTTGTACAGGCCCAGAAACTAGACTGGGGGTTGCCAGGCAGTGGAAAATTCTGCCTCTGAGCTAAGACTAGGAGATTAACACCCCACCCCATTAAGGCAAATGTGGTGTCCCTTTCATCATCTTTGCCGCTTGGGGGAGGGGTGCTGGAAAATCCCTGTGATGAGCAGCTGCTGGGTATACAGTAGAAGGACCTGGGATGGTCAAAGGTGTCTTTTGGAGAGAAAAAGGCTAACCCAACACTCTCTCTTGTCTCTAGCGGAAGAGCAGGTGGAGATTCGCAGTAACTTCCTAGCATCTCGGACACGACTCCCAGTCATGGTCATCATTACTCCCCAGGACCGCAGAAGCTCTGTGTGGACACAGGATGGACCCTCAGCCCAGGTTCCCCATACCTATCTCCAAATTTGGTATTTCTTCCCCTAGAAGAATGCAGGCCCAGCCTGAGCTGGGAGAGCAATTCTGGTCTTATGTTTCTGTATTCCTCAGATCCTTCAACAGCTTGTGATCCTAGCAGCTAAGGCCCTGCCTATCCTAGAGAAGCAGCTGATGGATCCCCGGGGGCCTGGGGACATCAGGGTAAGCCCCTGACCTACAGAATCTCCTCTGGGGGTTCTTTCAACTCTGAAAGTCCGGAGTCAAGGGACCCTCACAGGATACCTAGTCCCCTGTTTGGTGAGAGACAATACAGAGAAGGCATTGAAGCTGCATGGTGCCTGGTAGTGGCACCATGGAAGACACAGGCTCTGTATTTCCACCCTCCACTTCTGAGGACTGAAACTGGCACCAACTGCTTCCCTCTGTGGGTCTTGGTGTTCTTGCCTTCAAATGGGCATTTGTCCCGTCATGGATGGTCAGGTGGAAGGGAAGGAGGGGAGTAAAATGGACATGTGGAAGGGCAACTCAGGAGGCTGATCTCTTCCTACCCCCTTCCATAGACAGTGTTCCGGCCACCCTTGGACATATATGATGTACTGATCCACCTGTCTCCCCGCCACATTCCTCGGCACCGCCAGGCTGTGGACGCTCCAGCTGCCTCCTTCTTCCGTGGCCTGCTCAATGATCCAGGGCCCTCATCCCTGATGCCAGTACTGGGCTATGATCCTCCTCAGTTCTATCTGACCCAGCTCAGGGTAGGTCCAGGACTTCCAGGTGGAGCTAGAGCCATGAAGGAAGCTCTTAGGTGCCCACCCATAATCTTGTTTCTGTTCTGTCCCTCCCTAGGAGGCTTTTGGGGATCTGGCCCTTTTCTTCTATGACCAGCATGGTGGAGAGGTGATCGGTGTCCTGTGGAAGCCCACCAGTTTCCAGCCCCAGCCTTTCAAGGTGTGTTGGCTGGTGATAGCTATATGTGCATTTCTGAGTGTGTATACATAATTCCCTGTCTGTGTAGTCTGCTGTATGAGTGACCCTGGGTCAAATGTGTTTTCCTCTGCTCCACCCACACCTCTGTGTATCCCACCTGATATCTCAGATGCCTTTGTGACACCTCAACCTACATTTCTTCTCTGATTCCCCCAGGCTTCCAGCACAAAGGGGCGCATGGTGGTGTCTCAAGGTGGAGAACTAGTGATGGTTCCCAATGTAGAAGCAATCTTGGAAGACTTTGCTGTGTTGGGTGAAGGCCTTGTTCAGGCTGTGGAGGCCCAAAGTGAAAGGTGGACTGTGTGATCCCAGCCCTGGAGTAAGCAGTAGACAGAGGTCTTTGGGGCTCTGAAGCAAGATGTTGATGGGGTGGCCGTTCTTATTGTATATGGACCCTCCATGGATGGCCTGCTGACTAACTCATCCCCACAGAAAGCCTTGCACCAATTTCTGTCTGATGCTCCCACACTAAGACAACCACATGAATTCCCAGGAGAAGATTGAGGAGTAGGAGCTGGCTCAGAAGGAAATGAACCCATCTGCCATCAGCCCTTGGTCTGGACCTTTTTTTTTTTTTTTTTTCCTCTCCTCTCTTAGACTTCTAGAAGCAATTAGAAAAGAGGATGTATGCCTGTGGTGGAGACCGTGTCCCCTCCCACTGGCAGGATGTGTACCAAGATCTTAATATGCCCTTACTGCAACTTCAGACCTTTAGCAGAGACCCAAAGAAGGTGTGGCTCTGCCTGAGGGTCCCAGCACCAGAACTCAAGTGGAAAGGGGACTGTGTATGAATAGATCACATTGAAGAGGCACAATACCCTCTGTGTTGGTGCTGCTACCTCCCAGGGTGAGAACAGTGGAAAAGGACAGAGGCAGGAAGGGGCTGGTGGATGAAAGGGTCAGGGGCACTGGTGATTCCCCCAGTCCAGGAGAAATAAAGAAAGTGTGCTTCCCCTGGCCTTTCAGTGTGAGCTCTGTGCAGTTGCACATTCATGACACAAACTGCCCTGCCCCACACCCACAGTGGGGTTGCAGAAATGAGCAAGACCCAAGTCCTGTTCTCCAGGGAGGGAGGATGCTGTTTCTTCAGTCTAGTTCACACTTCCTTTCCGGCAGCTGCTCCCTGCTTCTCTGTCTCCCTTAATCCTGGCTGTTACAGACATAGATCAAATAGTGCCCCTCCTAGGCTCTGCCCTCACCTCCAGCCAAAGATACTTTTCACTCCTGTGAACTGTGAAATCAATTACTCCTGTGAAGTTCATTTGGTAGGCATAATAGTGTGAACCCTTCTGTTGTCTTGAACTCTGATTTACAATTAAACTGCCTAATTTTGTCCATGTACCTGGCTTGTTTTCCCTTTGTGCATGGTTCTGATCTGATCTATGTACAACTTCATTAGGACAGAGAACTTTTTTTTTTTTTTTTTTTTTTTTTAGTGGGAACTTAGCTTCACAGTTGCAAAGCAGGCACTCTACAGCTTGAGTCACACCCCAGTCCATTTTGCTTTGCTTATTTTGGAAATGGGGTTTTGCGAACTGTTCCCAGGTTAGTCTCCAACCTCAATCCTCCCAATCTCAGCCTTGCAAAGTAGCTAGGATTACAGGCGTGAGTTACCAGTGCCCAGCTCAGGGAACATATTTGAGCACAGATTTCTAGGTGCTTTTCATGGCACCTAGTATGGGTCTTTGTTAAAGTAGAATACAGATTTGCATAAAAGGAGCAGCAAACTCAGGCACGTGGAGGCCAGAGGCACCATCAGAAGGCCACAAATAAATGGGAATCAAACTTGAGAACTCTGCCTAGAGCAGGTAGGATGATGAGGGTGAACAAGAAAACCTGAGAGATAATAAAAATTGACATTTAGCCAGGTGCCAGTGCTCACGCCTATAATCCTAGCTACTCAGAAGGCAGAAATCAGGAGGATCACAGTTCAAAGCCAGCGTGGGGAAATAGTTTGAAAGATCCCATCTTGAAAATACTCAACACAAAAAAATGGCGTGTGAAGTGGCTCAAGTGGTAGAGTACCTGTCTAGCAAGTGTGAATCTCTGAGTTCAGATCCCAGTACCACCAAAAAAAAGGATGGCAATTAAGCTGGCCATGATTACATGCCTGTAATCACAACACTCAGGAGGTAGAGAGGAGAACTCTGAGTTCAAAGTTGACATTTATTGTCTAGTAGGTGTGGGACACTATTAAATGTTACTTTCCATATCTTATGTGTGGAAATTTGGTCATATGGATCATACCAATCCTATAAAGGAGGTTCTTTTAAGTCACCTTCCTTTATTTTTTGTGGTACTGGTGTTTGAACTCAAGGCCTACACCTTGACAAGGCCACTCCATCAGCCCTTTTTTTGATGGGTTTTTTCAAGATGGGGTCTCACATACTGTTTGGGCTAAATTTGAGCCACGATCCTCCTGATCTCAGCCTCCTGACTAGCTAGGATTATAGGTGTGAGCCACCAGCACTTATTTTGGGTAAAAGATTTGTAACCCAATCCCTTACATAGCTCCATGGCCCATGGTCTGCAGTCCTCCTTGGCTCATCCTCTGTCTCTTTCCCTTGATTCCTTGGCCCATTTCTGTGGGCTCTGGGGGTGGCTGGTTTCAAACCATCCTGCTTCATCCACAGGGCAGCTACAGGTCCTTGTACAAACCCAGCTCTGAACTATCCTGGTATGGGAAAAGATGGAATTCACCTCCCCCTCCTCCCCACACACACAGGCAGGACTACAGTAGGTGAGTCTATGAGACACAGACACTAGTTCCAATCAGGAGAATGGACTATGGTCCTAGACAAATCACTTCCTCTTGCTGGGCTCAGTCTCCCACCTATAGAATGGGCACAATAATGGCTTTGTCAAGTTCCTAGTGTCCAGTTTGGCAAGAGAAGAGGGCTGAGATCTCATAAACCCATGGAAACCAACCATCCCTTCCTGTACTCTGTTCTTGCCCAAACTTTAAGTTCCTTACATGGCAGCTCCAACTTGCCTTCCTGATTTCCTCTGGGAAGTAAATGCGGAAGGAGGCTGGAATCCTGAGATGACTCTGCCTTGACTCCTTACTACAATCCAAGATGATGCTTGTCTAGCCATTCAAGTCCCAGGCTACTGGGGCTCTAGAGTAGAGAGGTGCTCAGGCTTTGACTGAAGGCCTGGGCAGGGGGCAGGAGGGTAGGGGAGGAGGTGAGATGCCTTGGAGGAAGCCTCATGTGTCAGTGTGCTCAGGCTGATGTTGGGTGTGCATCCCCATGGATGAGTCTCTGGAGCTCTGCATTTAACTGTAGTGGACATAGATGGGGTGGGAGTCTGACATATGGCATGATTTGTCTGTTCTGTGTGTGCCTGGCTTGCACACATCAGTATGTGCTAGTCTTTATGCAGGTTTTTGCCTCAAGTTCTGTTTTTGGAGAACAGATCAGGAGAAGAAGCTTTCAAATAGGAGATAGGAATCCTGGATTCCTTCCTAGGGCTTTAAATAAAACTTTTCCTTTTTTGTGGTTCCAGTTTCCCAAGTTCTGACCTAATCCTCTCTAGTTCAATTTAATGAACTCCCAAAGGGTCCTTTATGGCTATGGAATTGATGACCTCCTCTCAGCCTTACAGCTGAAGACCCTATTTTCTTCTACCCAGCTCCTTACTTTGGAGGAAAAAGAGCAAGACCTCAAAGCCTAGGGTTCCATGCAGCAGACTACATTCGGTGAAGTTCCGAGCCCTGCTCAGTCCCTAACCTATTAAGTCAGATTTGAGCTAATCAGACTCACCGTGACACCCCCCCCCCACCTTCGACATCCGGTACTTGCTTTGTGAGTCACAAATTAATTCAGGTGAGTGATAAGGAAGAGGGGAAGCCTGGGGCACATGAGTCACCCCTACTCTACACAGGAAAGGCCAATCTGCCCATCCCCCTGCTGCAGAAGGGGAGGAGGCCCCTCAGCATGCCCTGAGAACTAAGTAGAACCTAAACAAGGGGTTGTTTCAAACCCAGAGGGAGGCTTCTCTCACACCTCAACTGGGAAGTGGATGGGGAGGATAGTTTTTCTGATTTATATAAGGCTGAGTGGTGTAGAAACTTGTCCAGGGAAGCACACGGAGCTGGGGGTGAAACTGCAGTGGTGTCCTGGCTCCAGATATGCCACCTGATGCTGAACCTGGCCTTTGTGGGGCCCAGTGGTGAGGTGAGAAGGAATAAAGGAGAAAGAGAGAGGAAGAGGCCTGAGCTACACATCTCTCTAGTACAGCAGGGAAGGAGGGAAAATCCTGGCTCACTGCTCTGTTCTGGCCTTCTCCCTCTGCCCAAGCCCCTTGAATGCAGCTATTAGCAAAACCCAAAGAAGCAGAGTTAAGGAAAGGGCAGGGTGGAAGTATGAGTAATGGTTCACCTCAGCTCAGACTCAAACTTCTGCCCCCTGCCTGGCAGCTGGCCTGGGACTCTATTCTTCAAGACAGGAAACCTGCACAGGACAGGGTTGGGGTTCTGAAAGACTGAAGAGACCAAGATCACACTTTAGCTGAATAAGCATTTCGATCCAGCCCCTGTTCCACTTGTCAACCAGCAGTTTGGATGAAAAAAGTTATGGCATCCTGGCCTTTCCCTAATCTCCCTCCACAACACCCTCCCAATACACAAACATACACATATACACATCATCTCCAAACCTATTGGGTTTCCCTGGATCCCAGTGACCCAAGAACTAGAGACAATCAAGAAGTCATTCCTGAACTTTGCAGAATCTCTGCTGCACCCTGTCCTCTCCTCTGGATACTTCCCTGTGACTCCTTTCCCTTTGAGGGAGTGGCTGCCCTATAATTATCAGTCAGGCTGGGCTAGGATGAGGGGAGAGTAACTGAGGCTCACACATACTTGTCACCTTTCTGGCATGCCAGATGCAGAGCCTCTGTCAAATACCTGTCCTACAGGCCCTTCAGAGATCAACTGTCCAGAGGCCCCTAACCTTCAGTTCCTGTCTACCCACTTCTGCCCACCTTCAACTTCTTCATCTTCTTGTCCATCCTTCCTCATTCTGCCTCCTATTGACTGTTTCTGTTTTGTTTTTTTACCATACTGAGATTCGAATCCAGGGCCTCACACTTGCTAGGCAGGCATTCTACCACTTGAGTCATTCTGCCAGCCCAATCATTCTGCCTCCTAAATCCCAAATTTATACCTTCCTCCTTCCCTCCAGCCACTGCCCTACATCTGAACTCTTTTTAATTTTTTTTTTCTTTATGGCTTCCTGGCCTCACTGTCTTCCCTTCTTCTCATCCTCCACTCAGCAGCTGGCAGGATCCTTCCATATAGCAAATGGAGTCACTCCCCTGCTTAAAACCTTCAGAGCTCCCATTAGGTACTGTTCCTAGTGGGGGACATTTGCCAACTGTAATCTTTTTTTTTTAATTTCCTTTATTCATATGTGCATACAATGATTGGGTCATTACTCCTCCCTTCCCCCTGCCCCCTGCCAACTGTAATCTTATTCAGAACCCCAATGTAAAAGAGTTAAAATGCTGTGGCTAGCTGGGCACCAGTGGCTCGTGCCTGTAACCCTAGCTACTCAGGAAGCAGAGATCAGTAGGAATGAAGCTCGAAGCCCATGAAAACAGTCTGCAAGACCCTACTCAAAAAGACCCATCGCAAAAATAGGGCTGGTGGAGTGGCTCAAGGTGTAGGCCCTGAGTCCAAACCCCAGTACTGCAAAAAAAAAAAAAAATCCCAAAAAACAAAAACATGCTGAAGCAGTTCTCTTCCTCTGGCTGCAGCAGTCTCAGTGAGATCTTTTTCAGATCCCTGGGGCTCTGAATATCTCCTGCTTCCTGGATAAGAGCGAGGCCCTTAGTATGAGACCCACATCTCCTTCCCTAACCTCTCCACTGCTTGCTCTTTTCATGCCCAAGCAGGCATTCATCCTTCTAGAGCCTGGCCCAACAGTCTCCCACCTGGAAAACCCTCCACAAAATCCTCAGCCAAGTGTTTTCTCTTCTAGGAAGCCTGTCGATTACCCTAGCCCAAAAGATACTCCACATTCCTTTCCTGGCTGCAGGGGCCGAGATTAACTCAGACCTAGTTTGAGCCCCCAGGAAACCTGTGAGCTTTTCTTTCCTTCTTGACCTCAAGTTCTGACTGCTCATGTTCTACAGTAACCCTCCTGGATCCAGAAGCTTCCTGCCAGTGAAGTGGGAAAGGGGGAAATCAGAAAGCAGGGCTTCTAGGAATCTGGTCCCTGAGGTGTGAACCAGAGTCCTCCAGATACCCGAGACCTGTTCCTGGTGATGGCCTGCTCTGTGTCAACTCAGTGTCACTAACTCCCCTACCACTGAGGCTGAATGGG